ACAGATCTGTACGTGAAAGGAATAATTTTGAAAATAATAAAAAATTAAAGAAGAAAATCTTATTATTAATTGATCCTTGTATACATAGTGAAGGGTAATGCATATTCGATAATCTGATAATTAATTTTTTATTAATGTACCTATTAATAGTTGTATTAGTTGTATAACATTATCAGTTAATTTTCAACCTTTACTTCTAATTCAAACATCGTTATTAAATGCATGGAATTATATTGAACTATCTTGAAAGTTCATATAGTTTTTTCATTAATTGCAATTACATAATGCTATTATAAAAGCGGTTATTAAATCCGTAAGCTTTCGCTATAATGCAATAATTAGTATCGTTTTTATCATCGTCGGAATCTGTTTTTACAACTATTCAAATGAGCAATAAAAAATATGATACCGAACATATTAACATGGTGATTTCTATTAATATAGGAAAATGAAAATGACATAATTAGAATCTGATAATACTAGGTATATGAGTGGTAAAAATAAACAACTTCTTATGTAGGTACCGGCTTATTAATGCAATTGTTAAATATACACTGTGTCCCAAATTCGAGTCTCTATATTGGAATCTCGCTAAATATAGGAGATAGTGTCGATTAAATAGGGAATGTTTTAGAGAATTTCAAATCCATTTTTAATTTTTTCGAGCAAACCGCCAATAGTAGAGAGAAAAAAGAGCTGACTCATAAAAAAAAAGCCATTTTTATACCTGAAAACGTAAGAAATTGATAAATACTAACTCATAATGTTTAGATTAATTTTTTCTATTGATTACCATTATATTTCCCTACACTACAAACTTTCTTAGAAATATTATGATTTCTCACTCATAATGAATATAATTTCGAAGAGCTTGAAATTCCCCACAAGGTCCATCAAACCGATTTGCAATATTGTAAAAGGTGGATTAGCATTAGATGGTAAAACTTTAAATTGAAATAGTAAATACTTAAAATTGATATCACCCTCGTACCCCTTATTCCGTATTTGTCCAATTTTCAATACTATAAGTAGACGAGGAAGACAATATAGCCTATCCTTCGGTACGAACACGGAACGTCTTGAGAAAGGATATTTTTCAATTATTTTTATACCCGAATTTACTTTGCTGATTTAATAATTATAATACGTCCAATTTTGAAAATTATTTTTTGATCTTGTTAAGAAAATGATTTACTACAACTTAATAGTATCTAATGGTTTAAAGAATAATGCATGTTTGATAATGTTAATTCTCTATTAAAAGTTGCCCTTTTTTAAAAAAATGTAATAAACTTTATAATTTTTTTTTGACGAAACGGGCCAATTTTTCAAAAAAGTATGCTAATTCAAGGCTATTGCCACTTATACTCTTTGCACATAAAAAAATTATAGTATTATCTTTAAAATTGTGTCTTTAAGTATTAAACCAAAATGCTCATTTATACAAATTTCTTGCTATTGTCAACGGTCAGCGGAGCAATAACTCTTAACAATATTACGAAAATCAGTTTTCTTTACTTTGACATATTTTTAAATCCAATGAAAACAATACAGAGTGGAATAAAAATGGCAACTTTCATTAAGTTTATTCTGCCATTTTAAACTAGCCAAAGGTCCAGCCGTCTCTAGCTTAAAGAGACTCAATTAGACTGGCCACACCTGGTGATGGTCTCCTTTGGGTATCAAACAAATAAATGCATTGGGCTGACCTACTAAGACCATTGTATAAAGAACTAATAGTAGTCTCACCTTATGAAAGTTTCATTGGAGCGAAATGGATACTACCAATAGATGGCGCTAGTGAATATGGATAAGTCGATATTCGTTTGCAGTGGGCGGAGTTGAGGGTCCACCTGAAATTTTAGTGAATGACGGAGACCGATCGATGGATTTCTATTTTTAGCTCTTGTTTGAAATTTCATTCAATGTTTGTTATTGTGCGTTGTTAGTGCGTTTACGGGTAGTAGGTATTGTGAATGAGTTGTGTTTATGTTTTATTACTGAATTATTTTACTGTTAATAAAGGAAGAGTTCCCAACAAGAGTACCTCATGATTTATATAAAAAAAATTAAATTATAGTTTAAATTAGTTTTTGGAAAGTGTCAAAAATGTTTACCGAATTCAGTAAAATGATACTGAAAAATAAAAATATTATAGCCATTAATAATTTTTGAATTTTCAACTTTAACACCCTGCATTTCGAAAACGGGTATTTTTTTTTCTACGCATATTTCGTTTAATAGTTTTATTTTTAATCAGATAATCTTTAGTTGTACTATGTCCCATTCTTAATGATATATATTATGATATAAATTAGTTAACTATTAATTCATGTTTTAAAATTAGAATTAAAAATTTGTGTATTTATATCTATTTTAAAATTAATAAAATAGAAAATATGCTTTTGTTTTTCTTTTCCTTTACAGGTTTTATCCGAATTAATTTAAAATAAATTATATAATATTAATAATAGCAATAATAATACATTTCTTAACTGTTGAGAAAAATTGTATTTCTAATTCAAATACATATACCTATAGGTAGGTAGGTAAGGTACCTACCTAAGTACTTAGCATAAGTAATTATAAACAACGGGTTATTTCTTTAATCTGGCGCGTAACAATGTAATTAAAAAAACCCTTAAGATGGTTGGTAAATAATATAAATGAATTCTTAATATTGAAGTAAACACAATGGGTTCTATAAGGATTATTGGTTGGGGTTCGGCTCTGGGGGATAGGGCATTTAGGATCGAAATATTGAAACTAAACTTGGTATATGGATGTATTATCCCATAAAAATAAAAATCGCTTTAAAAAAATTCACCCCTCCACACCCCTATCTGATATGGTGAGGGTGGCATCCCAAAAAAAAATTGTTTGAAAAAATTTTTCCAAATTTTTTTTTTAACTTAGAAAAAATTTCGACTTTAACCGTCATAATTCGGATGTGGGGGCTGGCATTTAAACATAGTTACAGAGGACATAAAAATCTTATTTTTGGCATATTTACAATAGAAATGATTTGCAACATTTGTGTATAAAAATCTTACTACCACCATCCCCTAGAGGGAGATAGAGGGGTGGCATACCGAAAAATCAATTTAGAACTTTAAAAAAAAACAATTAAAATCTACGATTTTTTTACATACAAACCCAAAATTTCAATTTTTTTTTGATAAAATTTTTCCATATTTTTTTTTTGGACTTTCTGACAAATTTGATAAAAAAATTGAAATTTTGGGTTTGTATGTATAAAAAATCGTAGATTTTAACTGTTTTGTTAAAAAGTTCTAACTTGATTTTTTGGGGATGCCACCCCCACCATATCAGATAGGGGTTGGGAGGGGTGAATTTTTTAATGCAATTTTTATTTTTATGGGATAGTACATCCATATACCAAGTTTGGTCTCAATATCTCGACCCTAAATGCCCTAGCCCCCAGAGCCGAACCCGAACCGGATTATTTTTGTTGGTATTTCCAATAATCCTGTTGGTTAGGTTTGGAAAATATAAGTAATTTTTATGAATAATTCTTGTTATAGGTAGATTAAAGTGATTATTCTCAGGTGGTTCTTTACTGTTTTAAGTCCACGCTAAAAAAAATTTTCTTTAAATAATATAACAAACTAATTTTAAATTATTTTTTTAATTTCTTTATTATATTTAATATTATTTCTACTTTTTCAAACAATAATCAATTTAACATATTTACTTTGATTAAGCCAAAATATTTAGTAGGGGATGTTTTTAATATTATATAAACATACTGTGTGTGAATTTGGCTAAGCAGTAACCTTTATTTCTAAAAACGGGAGGACAATGTTACTTGAAAAATGTATATTTAGAATTAATATTTACCACCATCAAATCCCAGACCTGAACACAATTTTTTTTTTCTAATTTCACAAATGTATATTATTGTTAACATGATAACCCTATCTTATACCGTCTGTTCTCCAGTAATTTAACGTTGATAATGTAAATATGAAAAAGTTAACATTATTAAAGTAAAAGCTATGAAAATCACAACTATTATGTTTGATAATAAAATAATCCAAATAAAGGTAGTTTACAGTGAGGAAGAAAAAGTGTAAATATTTATAAGATATTCGACGTTTAATTATTCAGGAAAGAATAAAATTCATTCCAAAATTTGAATAAAATATATATGTATGCTATCCCTATTAAAAAATATTCATGTTAAATCTTGTGAAATATGCATGACACTGATATGGTCATTTGATGACATTTTTGCAAAATTCGGTCAATGTAAACATTATGCAATAATAATTATGGCATAAAGAGAGGATAATTTATAATGAATAACCATGTTAGGTACTTAATAATTTTCAATAAAAAATTTTAATTCGCACTTTTTTACGTAAATTAAAGAAAAATGTAATTTCGTGTTTTCTTGGTGCAGACATTTTGCGAGACACTGTTTATTCAAATCCAAAATGATGTTTTGAAATTAATTTAAGTTTTACCAATTTAGAAAATAAAATTAATTAATAAAAAAAAGTGTCTACTCGTGGGTTTAAACTCGGAACCTTTCGATTCACAGACGAGTACTCTAAATATTCGTTATGAAGGCTTACGAAAAAGCTTTACTTTTTAACGCTGATAATCAGATTGCTTTTAGTTTCATTAAAATCTCAGTTTATTTTAAAATATAGACGATTATCTTGTGGAATGCTATTATTTATTGATTCTTCACAAGAATCACTAATTTTCAATTATATTTAATCTTAATAACTAAAAATATATATATTGACAATTAATTTGACGGAATTGTCACTTATAAAGTTCTAACATCTGACGTAGAGGGCGTATCTAACCAGTAAATAAAATCGTTAGTTCAATGATTATACCAATAGATGTCGGGCGCGATTGCCTCGAATAACTTTTACATGGCGATTATCCTACTATAGTTCTTTATACAATGCTAAGACTACTTATACAATGCTGATATAAATAATAAAACAAACAGGTTTTACCTGAATTGTAGCTGCAATCTCAGCTCCAAATCCACCTGTTAATGGAGCTTCATGTGAAATTATGCACCTCTTCGTCTTCTTTACCGACTGTAAAAAAAGTTTGAATTATAAATAATCATATATTACTAATAATATACATTTTTATTATGAGATTATTATAAAGCTCCAATAAAAGGACAAAAGCATATTTGTAGAGCACAAGAGATATAGCGGATATAGCAGTTTATTTTATTATGTATTATGGAAATTATGCGTTGTAAGTCAACATAAAAAAAAGAAAATCTGAATCTTTTATTTTTCGAATGCTCAAACTATGCAAATGAAATTAATGAGTTAATTAATTTCTGAATAAATTTAAATGTAAAATGCAGCCTGCTTTCAGTATTAGGTAAATTCTAAAAACTATTATGCAACGAGCTTATTGATGGCTTTTCATATTTTAGCAGCCATTAAATGAGTGTTTGATGCTTAATTTTGTTTCCAATATATTTTAATTAGTAAAAAATGATCATGAACATGAAATTTTAATACAATTTAATTAAAAACAACTGAACATAAACTTATTTCAATATTATCAGTTATAGGTAATACAAACAAGAACTATTTTTTCTATTATTTTGTTATTTCTTTATTGTTAGATTTCTTTCCGTATTTTGTTGCTCTAATTTAAGTTATAAATCTAATCAATTTAGTAAAAATATGTCTTTCTTTAAACCTTATATCCAAGTGGCGTCACATATCTGAGGTCTGTAAATTTTAACTTTATTTTTTGCTGGAAAAGTTGTCGATTTAGATTTGCCTCTAACTCTTAACAATACATCAGACACATTTTACATTTTCTTATTTCCATAAGACTGACCTATTTCCTTGAAGATAATTTAAATGCAATATTGGAAAACTTGACGATAGTCCAGTCAAAGGCTTCAAAAAACTTTTACATAATCAAACTTAATATTAAAAGTTATTATTATTATCATTTGAGTAGAAAATTGAAGCTGTATATTTGTTCATTACTTTAGATAGGAAGTAGATACCAACCTAAAGCAGTCTTTTAAGGAAATTGCTCTATAAGTAAAAATAATAGTAAGTAACAGTATTTATTAGTTAAACTTCATACCCTTAAATTTGTGTGGAAGTACTCATTTTGTGACTACCTTTTGAAAAAAGATATTTAACAACATTATAAGTATTCGAAATTAGGAAAAAAATCATTATTTAACAGCCAATAGCAGTTATGTGTTTAATATTAGACAACTTGACAACGTTGCTTCGAATAATAAAGAGTACATTTGATAGCACATGACCTCAAAAAAATATTAAATAAGTCAAATTTCCATACCCACCCTGGATTTAAAAAAAAATACAGAACGGCATGTACCCTACGAAGTTTTCTAACAAAATTTTTGTTAGATTAACTATAATATTTATGCAAATTTTGTCTCAGAAGGTCATCAAATTCAGAATGTTTTTGAAATATATATACCTACACATTAAAAATGGTTGATATTGGGACTTTCCCCAAATGCACAAAAATAAAATTTTATTATTCTGGGACTGGCAACTAAATGGAAAACATGACAAAGGTAATTTAGTACCACTCTAATTAACGGGATGCCACTCGTATCAAAATGATAGTTCTCAGAGTCTTTTGTCAGTTCGTGCAAAATTTCAAATAATTTAAAATGGCCCGTAGCTGTTGCAGTTGAAGGTGCATTTGATTTTGATTTATCTAGCTATATTGTTCATTTAAGCATCTTCTCAAAATATAGGAAAATGGCTACGAACAATAGAGCAATAACAGATATTGGTAATGATGTGGTCGTCATGTAAAGGATAATCAAAAAACAAGAACAAGCCTCTAAGAAAAATACAGTTCTTGCACTGTTTTGCACCAGTGGTAAGTAATATTTATAAACTTGTTTGTTATTTTAATACCTTTTTGCTTTCAGTTTTTAATGATCATTGTTAATGTAAAGAAAATGTTGGCCCATAAAAATACCCTGTACATCGATGAAATCTCTGAACCTAGGTCATCAACATCAAAAATTGATTCAATGCCATTGATATCAAACAAACAAAATGTACCTCAAAATTGTCAAGGGTCCAAATGTGTGTAAGTCTAATTTAAGTTCGAAAGCCAGATTTATTTATCACAATGCCCGGAGGACGAATAAGAATTTGAAAAACTAAAAATAGTGTACAAATAAATCAATAATAAAATTATCTGACGAAGAAATGTTCTTCAACCTAACTAGTGGACTCCATAAACATATTAAATTTTATCCACACTCAAATTCGCTTTGCTAGTAAGTCACCAGAAGGACGACGCATCAACTCCAATTTTTTCAAACTTATTTATCACTGCAAGTCGCAAAATCTTATAAGTATACATGCTGGTTTTGTTACAGAAAACATATATAAATATCTAATTATTTAAATGGTGTAAGTAGGTACATATTTGCATTTTGCATTTAATTTCAAATTTAAAATTAATGCAATAATATAATAAAACTAGCTGACCCGGCAAACGTTGTTTTGCCATATATATTATTTCTAGGAAACATTTTTTTAGTTCAATAAAAATAATTATCTACTATAAGTGTGAGGGGATGTACTTATAATCGAAAGCGTTATAACCAATGAAAGTATGCTTTATTTAGGTTAATAAATTAATCTTTATTAAAGTAACGAATATATTTTAAATTACAATTCTTGATAGCTATCTAAACATAAAAAATAATTATTTATATTTGTACTAGCACGATTGCACAGTTCAAAAAATTCGGTGCGCATAGTTTTTGGTCTCTTTTATCTAACGTGGATTTATAGCACGATCAAGCGATCTTTCGTGAAATATACGCGCTGGCCGTTTTCAAGATGGACAGCTAAATGGATAAATGCTGGATCCTGTTCATGAATTGGGAAACCGAAAATACGCCAGACAGCTTCATTGGAACTGATATACCGGCCAATTTGGTAATTCGTAATTTCATCATTTTGATTCAACGGAGGAGCATTTACATTAGTATTTTCAATTATAAATACAGTCATATCACTTCCTTTATTCACATACTTGCAAATATATTTGATATTCTTCACCGAACTGCATGACTCAACATTAATATGAGCATTGAATGTTTTGCTCAGCAGAGGTGAATATGTTAACTATAAAGTTTTTAATTAACAAATAAAAAATATGGGTTGATCGTAGAGGGGTGGAAATTAAGGGTTGCATGTATTTTTGTATGCTGTATCATAAAAAAATAAAAACAAAAAATGTTGTCTAAAAAATAAAAAATAAAATTTAGGGGTGGACCACCCTAAATAAAACATTTTTTTATCCAAAAAATAAAAAAAAAATTAAGGGTGGACATTTAGGGGGTTAAAAATTAAAGGTTGTATGTAATTTTTAATGCCACATAATAAAAAAATAATAAAAAAAAAATATTCAATAAATAAAAAAAAAATTTAAAGGTTTGAAAGATAGATAGTAGCCGATTCTCAGACTTACTGAATATGCATAAAAAATTTCATAAGAATCGGTGGAGCCGTTAAGGAGGAGTATGGAAACGAAAATTGTGAATCGAATCGAAGAAATTAAGAAAATTCTTCAAATAAAAGTTACTTCTAATATTCTAGTATTCAAGAAATTTGACAAAATGTAAAAAAAATATTTTTTTATAAAAATTGTTCAAATAAAAGTTGTTTGTAATATAATTTTCTATAATTTTTATCCTATACATAATTTCTCTAAAATGGACCGTATTCGAGATATTTGAGAAAATGTGTAAATTTCGAATTTTGAAGAAAACTCAGAAACGGATAAAGAAAAAAACTATAAATTTTATATTTCGGCCTAACGTGAAATGATTAGATTTTGGACAAAGTCGGAACATCTGGAGGGTACTTTATGGGAGGCCGTTTTTATATTTTATGGAATATATCTGTTATTTATGTTTGGAGAAGAAAAGTTACTTCTATAATTTATGCTTTATGTCAAAATTTCCTGAAATGGTCCGTATTCGAGAAATTTAACAAAATGTGCAAAATTCTGATTTTTATAAAAATTGTAGAACTAAAAGTTGTTTGCGATATCAATCTCTATAATTTTTTTTATACATAATTTTTCTAAAATGGACCGTAATGGAAAAATTGTAGGAAAAGTGTTTCCAGTATTTTCGTTTGCAATGAATATCTATAGAAAAATATTTCGAGGGAGATGTATGTGGAAAATGTATATATTTAGTTTATCCTCTAAACATTTATAGAGGTGCTGCAATAGGTTGTACAAAATAACCGGAAAAAGCCTATAATAACTAGATAGGAAAGTCATGTGTTGGATACATCAGATTTTTTTATTAGATTTTCTTCATTACATTTTTGTCCAGCTAAGAGAAAGTTAAATTTAAAAAAGCCCGCCCCTGTCGGCCATATTTAATTTAGTACCACTCCAATTTGATAGATGGTAGAATCCGAGAATAACGATCAAGGAGAAGCGACAGCTTGGTGTTTTAACGCCCGTATGCACCGTACACGTTTAATCCAGATCAAGGGTTTAATCACGTTTAGTACCATTTTTAGCTATGGTACTAAACGCGATTAAACCCTTGATCTGGATTAAACGTGTACTACGGTGCATACGGGCGTTAGTGTACCGTTTTGTAACGCGCATGTGCGAAAATAAGTTGTGTATCACTCAATTTATCTGTCAAAGTCAGTCCAAGTTGTGTTTAGTACGTGAGCAATGTTAAGTGATATTTTTTGGTGTTTGTTTTGTGTAATAATAAGATGAAGATTTTTACACACTTAGGTATTCTAATGCAGATATAAAATGTGCCAAAAGAGTTACTAGGAAACTAAGAATTTTATCACATGCATATGTAAATATTAAGTATAATGATTTAATCATTTTTGACACTTTATTTTTCGTATGTAGGTATTGTATTTTGTGAAATATATGTTTCCTTCTTTTAAATAAATTTAATAAATAATAAACTGGAGATTTTATTTTATTTTGAAATTGTATTTAAAAATATATAATAAATCTGCGTGTGTTAATTAGGATTGGTCAAAATGGGCGAAATCCC